AATAATTTATATTGTAATACAATATTATTTTTATTTATTAAAAGCTTATTTTAAAAATATTAAAATTTAATTAATAAATAATGATAATAAATAAAAATTAAATTAGGTAACTAGTTAAAAAATTTTCTAAAAATACTCATCAAAGAAAAATCTCTAAAACATTCTAACGCAAGATAAAAGTTAATGTTTAATATATAAGGGTTGATTTTATTAATAAATCTAATTTATATAACTTGTACTGGGACTAAACACCACCCGGTCAAAGTCAACACTAAACACACCCTTTTAGGCCGAGTACACCTTTAGGCCGAGTACCCCCTCAAGCCGAGTACCCCCTCAGGCCGAGTACCCCCTTAGGCCGAGTACCCCTTTAAGCCGAGTACCCCCTCAAGCCGAGTACCCCCTTAGGCCGAGCACCCCTTTAGGCCGAGTACCCCCTCATGCCGAGTACCCATCAGGCCAATGAATGGGCCAAGTACCCCCTCAGGCCAAGTACCCATCAGGTCAATGAATAGGCCGAGTACTCCCCTTAGGCCGAGTACCCGCTTAGGTCGAGCACCCCTTTAGGCCGAGTACCCCCTCAGGCCAAGTACCCATCAAACCAATGAATAGGTCGAGTACCCCTCAGGCCGTGTACCCATTAGGCCAATGAACAGGCCGAACACCCCTTCGACCAAGGGAAAGGCCGAATACCCCTTCGGCCAATAAACAGGCTGAACACCTCGTCGGCCAATGAACAGGCCGAACACTCCTTTGACCAAGGGAAAGGCCGAACACCCCTTTGACCAATGAAAAGGCCGAATACCCCTTCGGCCAATAAATAGGCCGAACATCCCTTCGGTCAATGAACATGCCGAATACCCCCTAGGTTGATGAACATACCGAATGAGTATTTAACTGTAACGAATTTCCATGAGAAAAAGGAAAGCAGGTATTAATTACATTAAGCACATCCACATCAGCTATAATCAGTGTGCAAAACCTTGTGCACTAGCCCAATAATCCAGAAAGCCCACCAGGCCCAAGAACGTCACTATAAATATGGTATTGATGGGATTGATGGCACATGTATGATTATTTAATACAATAGTCTTTATTGCTCTATACCGAATACTCACTTGAGTGTCGGAGTGCCTTTGCAGGTACCCTCCCCACCCTTTAAGGACAGCATCCGGTCGGCACCGAAGACTTAGAAGATCACAAAGAAGGAACAACAAGAAGAGTGTTTCTAAGCAGGAACATAACTATTTTAAAAATATTTATCTCCAAATGTCATGTTACTAAATGTCTCATTAGTTAAGTATGACTAAATGTTAAAAAATAACAATTAACAAATATCAATTTGATGAGAATACCAAAATTTGTATTTGTAAGAAGATCAAAATTGCTAATTGGAAAAAAAATAGAGAAACCAAAAATTGAATTTTACTTTTATATATAATATGCATTGCACACATTAAAATATTAATTTATATATCCAAACATAATATTTATTTGTATATATTTAACCTTTATATATGAAACACAAACCTTTATCCTGTGTGAGAATATTTATTTATCTATATAATTTATTATAAATTTTTGTTATATATAATAAATATTTAGTTGGTAAAATACAAACTAAAATACTAATATAATTTATATATTTAAAATCAATATATATAATTCATTATAAATTTTAATTATATATAATAAACATGTATTTAAATTACAAATGTTAAAATACTAGTTTATTATAAATTTTAATTATTATATATAATAAATATTTAATATGTACATTATACATACTAAAATATTAATTTTAATTAATTCAACATTTTTTATTTACTTAATGATATCAACGTTGAATATACTAAATATTAATTTTACTTATTTTAACATTCTTTATTTATTTAGCATATCAACTTAAATTAATCGGTGATAATGGTACAGACCAGAAAATAAATCTGTAAAATATTTACAAAAGAATTACCATATACAACTATAATTATAAAGATTTACAACATAATTAAGTGAATAATATTTATGATATATATACGCGTACCGACCTAACAATACAGTGTCTCTCCCGCGCCAGCATTGGCCTCAAGATTAAGCCTCCTCTGACACTAAAGATGGCAAAAATACCCGCACTTGCGAGTATTTATGAGTAAAATCCGTTACGGATAATAAATGGATAAGCTAATTGAGTATCCGTAGATAATGGGGACGGATAATTTTTTACCCATTTATAAACAGGGCGGGGGCGAGTATGATGATATTCATACCCGCAGGTACCCGTTTAATAATATTTCTTAAATATCCTAATTATCCTTATACCACATAAATCTAAAACTACACTCTCTCATCTTATTTTCTTACAAAAGTGAGATTGATAAAGTTACCAAGATGTGTTAAACATATTATAGAATTATGTTGGATGTAATTTGATTAATTTTCTAACTTTGATTGGACCAATAAAATTTATGTATTTTAAGTTGTTTACTTTTATTTAGAATTATGAAATTGAATTATTATAGTTTTGTGATGATACTTTATCTTACTTGTGTGATTGATGTATTTTAAGTTATTAATTATCTTACATTTTTATTATTATTTCAACAAAATTAACGTTAAATATAAGTTCAAAATTAACATTAAATTTTTATTTTTAATATTTTAATGACATTAAATATAAACTTAGGGGGTGTATTGGATTAGGATTTTAAAAGACTTTTTTAGTTAAAAAAAATCCTGCGGATTTTAAAAGACTTTGCAAGATTTTCATGACTTTTAAGATTTTGCAGGATTCTACAAGACTTAAAATCAGGATTTTAATGGATTCTGCAAGACTTTTAAATCAGGATTTTAATGGATTCAGTAGGATTTTGTGGAGTTTTGACATTTGATAAGATTTAAAAAAAAATTCATACATTCAAATTTAAAAGAGTCAAAGACAAAAATAATTAAAAAAACAATAGTCTAGATAAATAATAATAATAATTCTCCATAATATCATATCATTTTTTTATAGCATCCACTATCAATTGTAACAATTCATGGGAATCTTCCTTGGTCCAAGCTTCATAGTTTTCTTTCTCTTTTCTTTTTTCTTTATTATTTCCCTGTGAATCTCCCATTTGAATTACTAAAATAATATATGTTGAAAACTAGTTATATAAATAATTATGGATAAGAGACAAAATCAATAAAATTATATTATTATTTTTAGAAGCACACCAATCATACAAGATCGAATATATCTTGACTATCCAAATGGATCAAATACCTCAGTCATTATAAAAAAAAACATGTAAAAATGAAAATATAGAAACATAAGATAATTTTTTATATAAAAAAAATCAGTATATTCGATACTGAGAAAATATTTAGATATATAATTTTTTTTATATAAACGGAAGTATTTAGATATAGAGAATATATATATATTTATATTATTTTAGTTATATATTATATGATAATTTTTAACGATATTTATAAATGTAAATTATTCTAACAAATATTTTAACAATATTTTATTTTTTAAAAAATAAGCTAATGAAGGCATAAATCCTAAACCCTAAAAAATTAGATACTGCAATGTCTTATGTTAATTTTCTTTTTTTAAAATATAAAAAAATCTTAATTTCACAATATAAAAATAAAAAGAAAAATTCATAGTAAAAAAAATAAAATAATTGTTGAGTCATAAAAGGAGGGATAAGAGTAACAAATTCAAGGGAATGAGAGAGTTCGCAGTTTTTATGCTGAGAGGGTTCTTCCCCCAACTAAGATCCATTTTCATCTCATTCTACTCACAGAAACCCTAACAAATTCATCTTTTATATATA